TTTAATTTACCCTTTGTTATTTTAACATCAAAATGTTGAGCGATCACTGGATAGTTTACAAATGAAATGGATATTGCTGTGACAGCAGCTCAAAATATGCGTGTTGGTCTTGAAAAAATCTCACAGATGGCTACCAATGACAACTTTGGGTGAAAGTGCCATAAAGAAGGTTATTTGTATTTTTTGTGTTTCGCCTCTAAACGTGTCTAATTTATTTAAATTTTCTTATTAATTTTTTTAACAAATTGTTCGTAAATTGTTTATATATATCAAAGATACAATGAATTTCATCAATTATGTTGCTTACTTAACATATATAACATTCGTACTTAATCAGTAGTTCCTTGGAATGAGATGTCAATCGTTTGTAATTTGAAGAAAATACTGATTGAATAATAAAAAATGTTTTTGGTATGAAAAAGCGAATGCGACCTTTATTTTGCGATGCAATGGATTTTCGATACAAAAAATGACTAAAATTCTTAATTAGTACAGTATGAATGATTTAAAGAGGAATGATTTCAAAAATGGAGAGGAAAAACATTCCTTCTTCACTTAAAATGTTGACATTTTTTATTTTTTTAAATTAAAATTTCGAATTCCAGATCGGTAAACGTCCGTCTATGGATATGAATACTGACTAAAACTTTTCGTGGAGAAACGACGATTCCATTGATGTGATTCCGCTCGCCGAAGTTCAATCATCTTTGTTTCAATTGTCCAATTCTTCCATTTAAAATGCAAAAACACCGCTTCTTCAACAAAAATTATAATTTGTCGACCGCCCAGCAATTTTTCACGTTCCTCGTTCAATTTCAACAAGTTTAGAACTGCATAAGCCGAATGTTTTTTGTCAAAACGAGTGATGACGATTTTGTTTAATTTCACTGAATGTTGAATAAATGGAACAATCAAATTAAAATCTTTCATGGTAGACCAGAAATAAATTCGCTCAAGATTTTGTAAATTTTTTGCCATAAATTCGGTCTCAACAATCGTTAAACTACGACTCAATTGCAATTCTTTCAAATTTGTGAAATCTTTCAGAACGTCAAAGCTCTCGATGCGCCAGGAAGTCCAATGAAACGTTTCCAGTCCAGGTAATTTGCTCAAGCGTTCAATTCTTCTTGTCGAAAATTCTTCACATTCATAAAGATGTAATCGTTTATAAAATCCTTGTTCGTAAAGCTTATGAAGTAGATCAAATGTATCTTCGTCTCTTTCTGCTGTTTCTTCTTCATCATCGTGGTAACTCATATCAAACAGTTCAAACGATAGTGCCAAATCATCCAGTTTGATATCACTTTGTAAAAGGAGGTCGTCACATTCCAAGAACTGCATGTCGACGGCCAAGCTTTTGATGTGCGAATTTAATTTGATAAACGTTTCTATTTCTGAGCAGAAGAATTCACCGGAATATTTCGGATTTAATTCAATGTGCTCAAGTTTTGGATAACGTTTGCATAACCAACTGTTGTTACTAGCGTAATAACCAAGTGTTTGTCGCTCATTTTGTGTGTTTTGTACAGATAGACGCTTTAAGTTTTTGCAATATTGCAAGAACCAATATAAATTACCGGGAAAACCGCACTTCATTATTACAACTTCAACCTTTTTCAAAATTCGTTCGAATTCTTCGCTTATCTCTTTGGTTTTCCATTTATCAAAATGTAGTTCAATATGTTTGAGCGATGTGCAGGTTGATAAAAACGGTTGTAGATAGGAAAAATTGCCACAGTCGATTCGGAACTTCTGAATGAATTCATTTAAATGATTCATATGGCTTTTTAAACAGATGTCGCAATGGTCCGTCGCCGAATGAGCTCGATTTGGATACGGTGGAGGTGGGTTGGCATTAAAGAAATTCATTCTGACCATGTTTTGAGACTGACGATATCTATGAAGACATTTTTGATTCTGAATAGTGAATGGATCTATGGGGGTGTCATATAAACTAAATAATTTTCCCTGCAGATAAGTTCGATAATAGGTGCCGGCGATGACTTCCAAACGCTTGCATGTGCTTGCGACTATTTGTATTTGCTCGAGTGATAGCCAATCGAAGACTTCGTGGAAACATGCCATATCATTTTCAAAAAGTGGTGCAATTATTTCTCTTTCTTTATTATTTGAATGGTCTTCCATCTCTTCCTCGGTTTCATCACTGCTGCTGCTGTTGTCATCGTCGCTATCGTCATTATTTACACACATTGCTTCCTCGTTGTGTTTACCGTCCATTTCTTGATCGTTCTGTTTTATTTACCTCGTACAATAATGAATAGTACTAATTCTGAAATAAATTATGGGAGAAATGCGTCGATAGATTTACAAAGAATTGACTGAACATATGAAATTTGATTTAATTTACCCTTTGTTATTTTAACATCAAAATGTTGAGCGATCAC